CCAGCCACTATCTCAGGTATTTTGTGAAGGAAAGTAGGCTAACACACTTTGCCTACTCTTTCCTTTATAAACTTTTTAATTTTAAAACACTTTTAACTCTTATAGTGACACTTAGCTTAAGACACAATATACAGCTGGACATTCTCTCTTTATAGCCTTATCCTATAAGCTTTTCCTACTTAAAAACTTTAAATTTTTTGCTTTTTAAAGTTTGTTGCTGTTTTTAAAAACTAAGACATGAACATACACATTAGCCTTGCCCACACAGGGGCAGGATCAGTATCACTGTATCATTGTCTCTACTTCTACATCTTGTGCCACTGGAAGGTCTTCAGGGCAATAACATGCACAGAGCTGTCACCTCTTCTGATAACAATGCTTTCTTCTGAAATCCCTCCTGAAGGACCTGTCTGAGGCTTTGCTTGAGCAGTCCATGGTGGTTTGCTTGGTTTGTTTTTCTTTTCTTTTCCTTTCCCCTCCCTCCCTCCCTTCTTTTTTTTTTTTTTGGTACAGGGGATTGAACTCAAGGGCACTCAACCACTAAGCTACATTCCCAAGCCCCATTTTGTATTTTATTCAGAGACAGGGTCTTCTCACTGACTTGCTTAGCACCTTGCTTTTGCTGAGGCTGGTTTTGAACTCGTGATCCTCCTGCCTCAGCCTCCTGAGCTACTGGGATTACAGGCATGTGCCACTGCACCCAGTGCTTGTTTTTTTTTTTTCTTTTTCTTTTTTAATTATAGATTTGCTTGTAAGCAGATGATGCACCATGAACATTTCCTCTTAATTAACGAAAACCTTATGTGTTGGGGTCCATGTTTTCAAATCTTTATTTTTTTGTGGTGCTGGGGACTGAACCCAGGATTTCACCCATTTTAAGCAAGTGCTCTGCTACTGAATAACATCCTCAGACCTTCTCTGTTCTTGTTAACCTAGCACACTATATCCAATCATACTCTCGCTGGCTGATAAGTCTCTATTTCACAGAGAAAATAGAACAGGAATTCCTTCACTGAGCCTACCAATGTACTCATCTCAACACACATGCTTCCCTTTTGACACACTGCAGGTGTCCTTCCAAATTTTATACTTTTATTTTATTTTATATGTGGTGCTGAGAATCGAACACAGGAGAGCGCTCTACTGCTAAGCCACAACCCCAGCCCATCCTTCCACGTTTTATTTTTTTTTAATATTTTAGTTGTTGACAGACATTTATTTATTTATATGTGGTGCTTAGAATCAAACCTAGTGCTTATACATGCCAGGCAAGTGTGCTACTCCTGAGCCCCAGCCCAGCCCATCCTTCCACATTTTAAAGTGAACTTCTCCACCAATCCTTTGGAATCTTTCTTATTCTTTTTTTTTTTTTTTCAGAATCATTTTCTTGGTTATCTTCTTTCTTCTATAATTTTATCTTTTTCCTCTTTGCTGAAACTGTGTCAACAGCATCTCACCCATCTGAATAAAAACTCATGTCTCTTAGCAACTGCTTTCTCTATTTCCTACTCAGCATGGCCAAATTTCTTTTATTTTTATTTTTTGCAGTACTAAGGATTGAACCTAGGGGTGCTTTACCACTGAACTATATCCCCAATCCTTTTTATTTTTTATGTATTATTATGATGATTATTTGGTACCAGGGATTGAACGTACAAGTGCTTTACTGAGCTTCATCCAGTTCCTTTTTGAGACAGGTCTCATTAAATTGCAGAGCCCAGCCTCCAACTTATGATCTTCCTGTCTCAGCCTCCTAAATTGCTGGGATTACAGGCAACTATGACCCACTAAATGGCCAAATTTTTTGCATGCTAGGTGAGTGCTCTACCACTGGGATACCTCAGCCCAAACTTCTTGAAAAAATGCTACAAATGCAATCTTCACTTCCTCATCATCCTGTCTACTTCTCAAGTCATTGTTGTTTGACCTCTGTTCTCATCATTCCACAGAAACTGCACTTGCAAAGATCACCAACTTCCCTGTTTCTAAATCCAGTGGATTCTTTCCAACCTTATTTTGCTTGATTCATTACTACTGGCCTTCGAGATTTTTCTTCCATGGATTCTGAGACACCAGATTCTATTATTGTTATGGTCTGGATGTGAGGTGTCCCCAAGTAGCTCATGTGTGAGACAATGCAAGAAGGTTCAGAGAAGAAATGTTTGGGTTGTGAGAGTCTTAACCCAATCAGTGATTAATCTCCTGACAGGGACTGAGTAGTAACTAAAGTGGTAGGGTATGGATAGAGGAGATGGGAATTGGGGACATGGCCTTGGGGTATATATTTGTATCTGGCAAGTGGAGACCTCTCTCTCTGCTTCCTGATCGTCATATGAGCTGCTTCCCTCCACCACATTCTTCTGCCATGATGTCCTGCCTTACCTGGAGACTTGAGGGATAGAGCCTGTTGTCTATGGAAACCATGAGCTCTCAAATAAATTCTACAATTGTGCTGGTTGGGTCTTTTAGTCACAGCAGTGAAAAATGCTGACTACAATTATCCTTTATATGTTTACCATTTTGAACACTTCATCTCAATGACCTGTGCAGGTTTATCCTTCTTTGCCAGACCTTCAATTTTAGGTTCTTCTCAGAATTTTGTCCTAGGCCTTCTTCTTTTCTTACTCCACATATACCTCCTGGGCAAGCTCAACAAATCTACTGTTGTGGCTGCCATGTACAAGGTCCTACCTACCTTTGCATTCCTACTTCCAGTTTATACTTATCTTGTGAATTCCAGTCAGGAATGTTTAGCTGCCTCCTAGATGTTCCACTGGCACCTTAAACTCACAGTGCCCAGAATGAACTCCCTCCTAAAAGCCTTGTTTCCTCTACTTCATGTTTTCCCAGACTAGGGATTCAGAAGTCATCCATTATTTCTCCTACTTCCCCACACCCAAGTATTCACCAAGCCCTGGTCCTTCTGGCTATAAATGTCTAAGGAATCCATCCCCTTCTCTCCATGCTTCATGCCACCATAATCCCCACCATTCAAACAACTCTTAACTGATCTCTTCCTTATCCCAATCCTCAATCCATTCTCTGCACAGTTCTAAAACACATACTATTTATGTTAATACACAGCCAGTGTAACTCCATATCATGTACAACCACAAGAATGGGAAGTTAGCTGGGCATGGTGGCACGTGCCTGTAATCCCAGTGGCTCCAGAGGCTAAGGCAGAAGGATCAGAAGTTCAAAGCCGGCCTCATCAAAAGCGAAGCACTAAGCAACTCAGTGAGACCCTGTCTCTAAATAAAATACAAAATGGGGCTGGGGATGTGGCTCAGTGGTCGAGTGCCCTTGAGTTCAATCCCCAGTACCCCCCAAAAAACAAAACAAAACATGGGAATAGTCCAGGTATGTATGTCAAAATATTCTCTATTAAAAAATACACTCTAGGGCTGGGGATGTGGCTCAAGCGGTAGCGCGCTCCCCTGGCATGCGTGTGGCCCGGGTTCGATCCTCAGCACCACATACCAACAAAGATGTTGTGTCCACCGAGAACTAAAAAAAAAATATTAAAAATTCTCTCTCTCTCTCTTTCTTCTCTCTCACTCTCTCTTAAAAAAAACAAAACTAAAAAATACACTCTATTATCACATATAACTAAAATGAATAAAAAATTAAAAAATAAATAAAACACACACTGGATCATTACCCCACAGCTTAAAGCCCTACAATGACTCCCTACTGCCCTCATGATAAATCTAAGCCTTTGCACTCTTAGATATTAAATTCATAGGAAAATTTTTACCATCAACAAGATCTACTTAAAGTTCACACTGATCTTGGCATCAAATCCGGGGCCTGTTCTTCCAAAGTTTCTCTCACATTAGTCTCTCTTCTGGCCTGAAGATGCTTCATGGAATTTCTGGCACTCACCTAGCACTTTCCCTTCTTTGAGCTTCTCCAAGGAGGCCTTTCCCCTCTTCATCTCCATGGGTCTTTCAAAACCCATCTTAAGAACCATTTCCACTGCCATAAATGCCCCCTTTCTGGCTCTGAACTTATAAAAATCTGACTCTTCTGTAGTATTTATCCCCTGCATAGAATTAGAGTTGGTTCATAAGTGGTTTCTCTCCCTCTCTCGATAAGAATTATATAAATTTTGGAGTCAGGAGCAGTGGTTCAATCCTGTAATCTTAGCTACTTGGGGGACTGAGGCAGGAGGATAGAAGCCAGCCCGGGTAATTTGGGGAGACCCYGTCTCAAAATATATAAATTAAAAGGGGAGGTTGATCAGTGATAAAGTGCTTGCTTAGCATGTGCAAGGCCCTGGAGATTCAATCCCAGTACTGCAAACAAAACAAAACAAACAAAAGATTTATGTAAGTTAAAACCTCGGTCCTCATTAGGGCCCAAGGAACCTTATAGCCCAGTCTCTGGCACATATTAAGTGTTCAGTAAATATTTGGTAAATGCGTGGATAAATCCAAGAAAGCTAGTCCCTCGGTGTTCCCCACCAACAGGACATTTTCTCAAGTCATTAACTTTAAACCGCCTCTCACCCACCCAGCCAGACGCAATTCCCCTCGACCCCACTGCATGGAGAATGGGTTAGCACGCGCCGCCAAGGCGGTTTTGTAGGGTTTTCTACCTCCAGCCCCGGAGCTGTGGCTGGTAGTGGATAGTGGAGGTAGCCAGACGATGAAAATCAAAGGGCACTGTCTTCGCCGAATACTGACAGACGCTATCGGGAGAGGAGAAACCCTGGAGGTTCGCAGACTACGACTCTCCTGCGGCTTCTTACCTACTAGGCGGCGAGAGGTGGGGGGGACTTTTCCTGACCGGCGTCCTGACTGACCAATACCTGGAACAGATCAAGAGAGTCAGCCAATGGATGAGGGCCAGAGAAAGGGAGGGGTGGGGCATGGTTGCTACAGGGGTGAGGCGCGAGACTCCGAGTGACTCGGGGGTTGCTAGGGAGGGAGGTCACAGAGCGCGGCTCAGGGATTGGGCAGTGTCGGGGGAGGAGGTGGAGACTGGGCGGTGCCCAGGAGGCGCCCCGGCGAGGCGCGGGTGCGCGGGTGCGCGCCAGAGGTCCGGCTGTAGGCCCGTGCTGAGGGCCGGCACCTTCATCATGGCCTGGGCTGACCTGGACTACACCATCGAGATCCCGGATCAGCCCTGCTGGAGCCAGAGTATGGATCGAGGGTTGGGTCCTGTCGTGGGGAGGTGACCTAACAAGTCTGAGGGTCGCGAGCGCAGCTGTAGCTCTGCCGGTCTCGCGGCCCCGCCCTCTCGCGTCCCGCCCCCTTGCAGGGTCCTGCAGGTCCTCGACTTTGTGGGGCGCAGAGAGCCCCGCCCTTTTGTGGGCCCCACCCAGAACGCTCCTCCTCCCAGAGCGTCGCCCCTTCCTGCGTCAGCGTCTGCTGTATCGGGGTCTCTTTTTCTGCTTTTGTAATCCGTAGTTCTCCGGCCCGTGCCATTTTTGTTCTCGTAGTAGTTGGAGAATGCCTGGGGTAGGGTTCCTTCTGATTCCTTTGTTTGGGATCGTGCTTCCCTCTTCTCGCCTCTTCTCCACTTGTGGCTAGGGGCCCTAGTGTTCCCGAAGGAACAGGGTTCCAGGGGTCTCTGGTCCTCGAAGAAGCCAGGAATGCAGAAGGGCTAGTCTTCCCTCTCCCCTTTTCTTGGCAGTGGTTAATAAACTAGGTAGAACTCTGTTGAAATCCTTGACTCCTCCTTTTTAGTAATTGGATGATTTTTGGTAAGCTACCCACTATGAACTTCAGTTTATTCCTCCTCAAAATGAAGGTAACTGTAGCAAACACCCCCACTGAGTTGTTGGTCACACAATTAGGATTATTTGTGTGACAAGCCTGGCATAGGGCCTTGCCTGCAATGAATTTAAAAATTGGCATTTAGGATTGGCATTATCTCCTCCTTCTCCAGTCATAATATTGAAGAAAGATGTGTGGGAGACTCCACAAAATTGATAGTTTTTAAAACTGTCCTGAGTCCATGGCAGTGTATGTTGGGTGGCCTGTAGAATGGAAGGAAAGTTGTCCCTGCTGGGAATTATGGTAGTGGAGTCTCGGTGTACAGGTCAGCCTGGGCCCAGCCTATCTGGCCTGCATTTCTCCAGCATTGCATTCAGGCCTCCAGTCTCACTGCCAGCAGCTCAACCTCTTATATTGCTACCACAGTGATCTKCCAAATGCAAAGGTTTGAGCTCATCACCACTTTTCATAAAACCCTTCGGTGGCTCCTTATTGCCCTTGGAATAAATCAAGTCTAGATTCCTTAGTATGGCATTCAAAGTCCTTCATAATTTAGCAGCCCTTGCTTACCTCTTTGATCACTGTCCTTCCATTGTTTAGTAGGAATTTTATGTTCTGGCAACACCAAATGGCTGTGATTCTCCACTCATTTCTTGCTTCTCTGCCTTTGCTTCTGCTCTTTCTTCTGTCTGGAATGCCCTTTCCCCTCTGCTGGCCTGCTCTGCCTCCACTTGCATCCAGCTCACCATGTAAGGCTTAGCTCAGATGTTGCCTCCTTCAGGAGAGTCTTCCCAGACCCCTCCTGTAGAATTTTGTTGTTGTTGTTGATCTCTCTTTTTTATTGTGGCATACATCCTATGGCATCTTGTGTTCTTTGGTTAAAGTCTGAGAGGTCAGCTCCTAGACTTTCAAAGGTAACATGGCTCTGACTACCTGTTTTTCCCTAGAACTCAATCTGTTGGTTTAGGGCTGTTGAGCTTATAGATGTAAAAATACTTTTGAAAAGTTAAGTCAGTTAATAGTTTTATCCTTCGAAAGCCTTCAGCTACAAAGGCTCTGGATCTGCCTTCTGTGTGGTGAGGAGGACAGAAATTCTCTTTCTCCCCAGGTGGGCAGCCAGACAATCTTGTTTCTCATTTCTGCTTTACCTCTTACTAGCTCTATGGCTTTGGCAAACTATTGGACCTCTCTGAGCTTCAGATTCCTCCTTAATAATAAGGACTATTAGGGCAGTGACTGAATATATGTGCCTGGCATAGTGCAAGTGCCGAGTGCATTTCCTCTCTTAGGCCTCCCCTTATGGCCTCCAGAGACTCAAGCTTAGAATTTTGTCCTGTACCCCTTTGCCAGCATGAGTGCATTCTGTTGCTAGCAGCCCCGCTCCCCCCCCCCCCCAAACATCCTGGTCTGTTGGAGGCAACTGGGATTATTAGAAAGCACTTCCCTTTCTGGAACCACAATAGGCCTTCCTGTCATTTCCATTCTCAATTCAGCATTTGCTGTGTCCTGGCCTTTGGTTAGTTGGTGCCACCTCAGAAATGATTCATAGACAGGCAGCCTTCAGGAAGCTGTGGTTTTGGGGAGGGAATGAAGATTCTTAAGCAGGTGGTTTCAAAATGATATGGTCACTATAGGGCTAGAGATTGTTGTGGTGGTAACAACACAGAGCAAGAAATACATATTCCTCTTTTCAAGAGACAGTGTCTCTTGAAGAAATACCTCCAGAGCTTTTGGTTGTTCCTCCACCACCTGATTGTGCTGACCTACTGCTTTATTTCTTCCTGTCCTTCCCTCTCACAGTGCATGTCCCACAACTGAGCCTTAGATTGCAGAACCCCTCAGACGGATATCAGGACACTGTGATCCCCTGGAATCTATTTGTTCCCTCTGCAGAATGTTCCCCTCCAGGCCGACATGGCTGCACAGAATGACAGTCTTCAGGGACCCTAGAGATTATTTCTCTTCTGCCGTGGTGAAGTGTGCAGGATGGTCATATTTAGTTTTGGAATTGCTTTCCCCCAATATTTGAAACCCAAACTCCAGAGCCGGCACTGCTGTTAGTTGACAGAGAGGTGAGCAGCTGATGCTGGCTCATCCCTTAACTGGAAGGCAGCTGCAGATTGGAGTCATTCGGAGCCCTGGGTTTTGTGGGCCAGGTTGGGCAGCAGAGGATCCTCCGCTGGGAATTTCACCAGCCAGTATGTGTGGTTGCCTGTGCCCAGGATAGTCCACCTGGCCTTTGATCTGGAATCTGTCCTTCCTTTCATTTTCTTGGGCCAGGGACCCCCTTGTTCTCCTAATCCCCAGCTCCCTTTCATTTCTTTGGGTGAAGATTGTGTCCTGGGGGGCTCCCACAGCACTGTATTGCCTTATGTAGTGCCTTTGACAGTTTTACTCATTGTTGCCAGGGCCTGGCAGTGATGAGATGCCAAGCTAGCTGATTGGAGTCACTTGGAAGCACTGTGGGTCCAAGTCAGAGCTGCTCTGACATCCCAGCTGGGCTGTGCCACCCCTCCTCCCATTTCCCATCAGAGAATGATCAGCTGAGTCCCACTCAGGTCCCCTCTTTTTTTTTAGGGTTGAGGTTGGAACCCAGGCCCTCTCACATGCTAGGCAAATGTTCTACCACTGAGCTACAACCGAGCTCATGCTGCCTTCTTCTTTTTTTTTTTAAATATTTATTTGTGTTTTTTAGTTGTAGTTAGACACAGTACCTTTATTTTATTTTTATGTGGTGCTGAGGATCAAACCCAAGGATTTGCACGTGCCAGGCGAGCGCTCTACCACTCTACCCCACCCCCATGCAGCTTTCTTAAAGGCACTTTGTGCTACTTTCATGTTCAATGAACATTTAAAAAAAGTTATTTATTTATAGATTTAATAGGGCTGGGGTCCTGGGCTGGAGACAGTGGTCTTGCTCTTAAACAGAGGCCTCAAGGAGATCACAGAGAAGGGAGGTGAGGGGCTTTAGATCCCTAGACTTTATTATGAATCTGCTCTTTTTTAGTCACTGGCCATGGTCAAAGAGCTGTACCATCTTTTTAACCCTCAGAGGAAGCTTTCACTGGTGCCAGGGAAACTGCTGAGGACCACTGTGGGGGTCATTGTGGGAGATGAAGCTTGGGGAGACTGATTGACCTGTGGTGAGCAGAGAAAGTATAGAAGGGCTCTGAGGGAGGACTTGGAGTGAAGTGGCTGGAGGGGGGCAGGCCCTGGCAGGAGGCTGAGGTGTACTTTGGGTAGAGGAAGGTGAGTGGAAACCCTCAAGAGCTGTTAGGTCTAAAAGATCCAGGAGAAGACTCGGTCCTCATCTTGTCTTTGGATCTTCAAAGGCTGTTGCAGCCTCCTTCTTCTCCCTCTTCCAGAGGAGTTTCATTTTTTTTTTTTTTTTAATCCTAATGCCTTTTCTTTCAACCATTAATAAAAGACCCTTTCCAAGTGCCCACTCTATGCCAGGTGCTATATTAGGCCCTGCATTCGAGGTCCAAGCTGATGTACCCTTTGCAGGCCTTTTTCTCTGCCGGTTGTACTGACACGATTGACTGTGCCCATGCCCTATCCACATGCTGACCTGCCTTTCATTATTTTATTAATCCTCACAACCATCTTGTGAAGTAGGGGTTCTCTTAATTCCAGTTTACAATGAGGAACAGATGAATGGGGGAGGTGAAGTATTTTGTCCAAAGTAATTCCAGATTTCAGCTTAAGAGCCTTACTCTACATCTTGTGCATGCAGATTTCAGCTGCCATTTGAAAGAGCTGCCTGAGTACAATGCCATTTCTAGGAAACAGTAAGAGGCATGCACAAAGAAAGGGGTGTCTATTCAAGTATTTTTTATTACAGCCCCAGATTGGAAACAACATCATGTCTAATAATAGGAGATTGGTCCCCATAAATTATGAAACATTCTATAGCTGCTCTGCAGCCACTAAAAATAATGGTGTAGAAATATATAAACTGACAGGGAAAGATGTTCACAATATATTGCTAAACAGAAGAAAGCAGATTACAAACAGTATGATTCCAATTTTATTAGGCATTCATTTTCTGCTTTTTCTATAGTGAACATGCATTACTGGTGAAGTAATAATAATTTTGACTTATTGAACTCTTTCTTTGTGCCCGGTACCTTGCTAAGCCCTCCATAGTCATATCTTATTGAATTCTTTGTATTATTGTCCCCATTTCACAGATATGGAAATTAAAACTTAGAGAATTTGCTAAAGGTCTCTTGCATAGTTATCAGATGGCAGAGCCAGAGATTGGAATCCAGGTATAGTTTTGTGTGGTATGTACTCTTAGATGCTACACTATTCTCTTACGCTGTTATTTTGAAAATTAAATGTAAAATAATTTGGTTTAAATATAGGAGCAGCAAGACTTTGGAAAGTTTTCTGGGGAGTAGAAAAAATTAAGGATC